GAGCTACGCGTTACTTCCACCAAGTCCTTGCCTGGACTTATCCCACTCCCCTCCTCTTCTTCCTCATCTTCAACCACCTCTACATTCTCTCCTTCTTTGTCCCCATCCTCCTCTCCCTCCTCCTTCTCCTCCTCTTCAGGCTCTACAGGCACAGACACAGTACATTCTGTTGGGTCAGGCTCCATTTTCTCTCCCTCATCCTGCTCCATGTCCTCTTTTCCATGTTCCCTCTCATCCTCCTGCTCTTTGGATAGCTGGGGCTCCTCCAGGCTGGCCTTCTGGCCTGGATAACCCAGAGAGAGCTCTACTTTTAGGGTTTTGCCTGTGGCTGTGGCCGGGCAGGCTGGATCTGGGACTGGAGCTGGGGAAGGGCATGGCGGCAATCCAGAAATCTTGCTCTCAGGCTCGGAGACAGAGCATCCTTTTGCTTCCGCCCTCCTTTCTTCCTTCTCTTCCTCCTCAACTCCACTCTGAGATTCCACCACTTCACAGTCTCCCCCGTCGTCTTCTTCCCTTCTCTCATGTTCTTCTTCGGTGAGAGGTTGGACGTGGCATGGATGAGGGAGGGATTTTGAGTCCGGTTCTGCTGGCGCTGCCTCCACCATGGCTTGTTCAGCCAATCGGGCTTCAGCAGGCGAGGGCCCGGCCTTGTAACCCATGGTGATTGGAGGGTAGGTGTATACAGGTGGCAAGTCTGGTAGAAAGAGGGGAGAGCATTGGTTTAATATATACAATGTATATATTTATATATTTATTTTCAAGCATCTACTGAAAATGAACTGAAAAATCTTCTGTCTGCAGTGAGATCTTTTGCTTTTTAAATTCATGGTCATTCTGTTCAGGCAGACAGGAAGCAAGCGATCACAGTTGGAATAATACACTGACAGCTGGGTGCAGAAAACACAGGGAGAGTGTGCGTGAAAGTGTGTATGTGTAAAGTTGTGTATATTATATATACTGCGTGTGTGTGCGTGTGTGTGCGTGTGCGTGTGTGCAGGAGTATGAGTGAGTGTATAGATCTATGTGGGATATTGATGACACCCTGCTGTTTTCCTGTGATTGCAGCGCTGGCCCTGTCACCCCTGCATTCTTATTATTGATGGTATCCCTCCGCCCCCTGACAGCGCAGCCAGATGAATGCGTATCCTTCCGCCTGTACTTCTCAAGGACCCCTGAAGGATAAGGAGGGTCTATCTGAAGAATTCATTGACCTTCCTCTTATGACACCCATGTAAGCTCAGACACATGCGTGCACGTTGGCAGGTCGCACGTACACACACTGAGTGCCCATATGCTTTCTCCGACCTTAATGGCTGACCTGTCCATTGTCCCTCTTTAGCTTGAACAGACACACACACACACACACACACACACACAAGCTCAAGGACAGACAGAACAAGGGATCAGTCATGCTTCAAACAATTTCTGCAAAATCAATTTCTGCGATTTTGCAGAAACAATTTTCTGCAAAATCGCCTCAAAGAGAGCTACATTTCTGCAGCAGCTCCCTCCGTCTCCCTCCCTCTTTTTTCCTCTCACACATTGTCTCTCTATTTCTTTGTTTTTGCTTTTTCTCTCATTAAACAGCCTCTAGACATCTCCACATTCACCTGGCTCTAGGGACTGTGGGTAGTCCTGAGGTGGCTGTCCCTCTCCTCTGTCGCTGCCCCTCTCCAGCCCTTTGGAGAGGTGTGAAGGAGCGGGGCTGAGCGCCGGGGAGCGGGGCGCAGCCGCGGCCGGACTCGGCGCAGGGGTCAGAGGGTTCGGCGGGTGCGGGCGCCTGGACGGTGAGTGGTAGCAGGGTGACTGACGGCTGGTGGGACACATCCCCGGAGACGGCGTGGGCGTCTTCGGTGGAGGAGGAGTGTGAGAGAAGGGTTTGGCTGCGTGAGAAGAGGTGGTGGAGGAAGAGGAGGGGGGAGTTCGGGATGCTGACGATTCATGAGGAGAGTCTTCTATAGTGATAGCATGCTCCTCATGTTTTCTCTGTGAAAAAGGAAAGGGAGAGTTACGACTTCATCTATCCTGACAAATTATTTCTCAAGCAAACAATGCGGCAGGTTATTTAAAACACACAGGACAGGCGGCACTTAACATGAGCACAAATAAGCACCGCTGCTGAAGAGATAAAGGAAAACCTTCCGACGGAAAAGCCACGAAAAAGAGTGTTGGCCACACAGTTTGATTGCCAAATGATCTGGCAATGCGAGAGTGGGAAGGCACCACACCAACGCCTCCTTATCAATGAAACATTTTGCCAACAGAAAGAGGAAGTCATTGGCTTAAGTAAATATTGCTGAGCGTGATTTTGCATATGTTTTTTCTGTCAGTGTTGAGAAATTGGGATATCAGAGCTGAGAGATCTTCAAACAAATGATTAGCGGGGCTCTGTAATACTCTGACTACTCAAAGGAGGAGGAGTTTTGCACAGTATTTTCACACTTCCTAATTCTCATTTGCCCACAGTTTCACAATAATATGTTAACACCATTTCACAAGCTTTACACTAAAATGTACCCTCTCTCACGTGTGTCTGGTCTATATTAACATATTAACATAGTACCTGTCCTATGGAGTGGCGCTGCATGTGCTCCATGGCTCGCTGCTGCTGCTGTTGGTGCTGATGCTGCTGCTGCTGCTGCAAGGCGTACAGCTCCTGTTGCCGTAGGAATGAGGAGCGGGAGTAGACGGGATGATGCTGCAGGTGAGGAGGGGGGCCCCGGCCTCCGTACACGGGAGGCCATAGACCTGACTGCTCCAGAACGTCTGGAAGAGGAAACAGACAGAGAAAAGTGAATAAATAAATAACAATAAAAAAAAGACTTTCCTGTTGGTTAACTCACATTATTCACCTTTTGAATAAATAAGCAGGAAAATAATCAGCAGAGAAATGTTTTCATGGCTGCATCATAAAGAGAAACTGTCATTGAACTCTGAAAGTGCTCATTTGAATATGTGGAATTGGCAAGAGAGCTCAGCCACCTTAACTGCAGATGTAACAACTGTGAGCCGTGTGTCGGCCACAGACTGAATAAGTGAATCCTTCTTTAACTCTCCCTATTTCTTATGATGGTGTTTTTCTGTGCAGGGAAACACAGTTTCTTCAAAGCCCCACCCTAGGCACATACAGAATGAATTCAGATACACACAGATGCACATACACTCACACCCACACACACATCCCTCCTTGGACGCCTTGTCGCTGGGAACCTTTGTTCTGTGAGATTAGCCTGAGTGGGCTAATGTTTCCCAGGGGAAGGGTTCAGTGGATGCACTTCCCCTCTCTGCAGGAACTCCCACGAAGCGAGGCAAGGGAGGCGGGAGATAATTAAATTTCACAGCCTGTTTGCAAAGCAGCGTTGACACACACACACACACACACGCACACACACACACACACACACACACACTTCTCTCTACTTAGCAATGGCTGACATGTACAACACAACCCTTAACACTGAGCAATGTCTCATGTTGTTCCAGACACGAACACAACTAACTTCATATGTTCACACACACACACACACACACACACACACACACACACACACACACACACACACACACACACACACACACACACACACACACACACAGACAAGCCCACCCCGC